ACGAACTGCAAGGCTGACGGGAAGCCGCGGCGCTGCAGACCGGGCCCTGCGGGGTCCAGTGCCGGTTCCCTCCAGCGCCTGGACGGGCAGGTGTCGGAAGAGGCAGGGGGAGATTCCCCGGAAACGATTGCTGCCGCTGTAGGTGGACTGTGCGGCGGTGCGGCCGGCGGCCTTGGAAAGCGGAGCGGCTCAGGGCAGCGGGCCCAGACCCCGGCCCACGGCCTGCCCTTTCCGGAGCAGGTTGGACGGGGGTGCTGGTGTTGTGCATGCAGGGCCAGCAGGACAGGTACCACATGCTTTCAGACATATGAATGAAGCCCTGCCGTGGGTCAGGTCCTTTCAGGGCAAAGGTGGCCACGGACATACTGTTGCTAAGTAAGACACAGGCATCTCACCTAGGTTAGCACTGTGTTGAGGAGCCAAGGGTCACTGCATCTTTTGAAGTAGATCGCATTTAAGCCAGCAGTTCTCTAAATGTGTGGGTAGGGTCTTCACTGTCAATCCATTGTCCCGTGCTGCTCACTCCCCAGGCACTCGGACTCTCCCCCTTCACCGCCCAGTGGAGAGGGTGTGTTTCCTCAGATGGGAAAACCCAAACCGCCGATTTAAGGGAGCCACAGACTAGTGTCCAGATCATTCTATTTATAGCTCAGCAATTGAAAATTATCCCTTAAGGCAGTGTAAGTTAATCGTTGAGATGTAAATTCAAAGTCATATGATTAGTACAAAATGATTATCAGTCCCATAAAGATTTTATGTTTAAAAAAAAAAGATTTTATGTTAAGCAGTAGTTTGTATGGGACTCGGACGGAGAGAAGATTACTGATTTGCCCTTTCAGTCCTGACTTGTTTGTGTGAAGTCTGTTAAGAGAATCCCTTTTGCATGGCCCTAAGAGATCATTTCTCAAATTTCTTTCACAGAGAAAAAGGGATTTGAAAGTAAAACTGTCTGTTTTGGGTTTTGTTTTCAGGTTTAGTCTTGAAATGGGCGTTTGGGTTGCTGTCTGTTGGCCTTTTGTTGGTAGATGTTGTGCTGAATTCCTAGACAACTTTAGCCCTTATTCAGTTGTCTGTTTAAAAAAAAAAGATTTTAATGACAAAAACCATGAAGTACTGTATTACCCCTCTATTATCAAGTTTGCCTGAAAGCAAAACTTGAGCTGAGGCTCCTAATATTTTATATCAGTATATAAACTCCCCTCTCTTTTCTTTTCTCTTCTTAAAAATTCTGTGTTGACTTTCAGAAATGAGTAGTTTTTCAACCCAGAGATGAAATTAGAAATCAGAACCCAGGGGCTTTGGGAAACTGTAACTGAGCAGGTGCAGGCCCAGCCCACTGCGGTTCTCTTGCTGTGTTGGTCGGTGCCCCAGCACGTAGGGTAGCTCCAGGTTGGCACTGAGCGCCTCAGAGGACTGGGCAGGCCATTAGTGATGGGTGTGCTGTGTGGGATATCTGCTTCAGGATCCTCAGGGCTTGGTGACCGCAGAGCCCCAGGGAGGGTGGGAAAGAGAGAGTGAGCCTCACTGCAGACCCTGGGTGGTCGG